CAAAACCCCCTTCAGAGACCCCCACTACCGATGGCCGAGGAATTGGAGCATCACGTTCCTTGTGGAGACAAAGAGAAAATAAGGTTCCCTCAATCCACCTACACTGCCTCGTACTCAGCACATGAGGGCCAGTCTGCAGCCAGGCCATGGTGGTCGTACAGCAGTGAGCTGTTTCACAGACCGCTCTGTCCCCAGCAGACCTTCCTGGGCACCGGGGAGCTCCGTGGCTTGGCTCACAGTCGTGCTGCGAGCAGTCCAAGCTGTTAGCACTATTTGGATATTTTGCTTTCTCTTTTTACAGCTGAGTAAATCAATCTGATGCTCATAAAACAGGTTAATAGCACTAACTGGAGCCACTCGCCAGCCCAGCTTTTGCTGTGCGGCCTTTCCAGCTGTCTTTACACTTGCTGTATCCTCAGATGCTGCAGGTTTTGCACCAAAGCTGCATCGCTTCTGATGCACTGCATGTTCTGCAGCGCTGCAGCTCACCTTACCACAATCTGGTGCTGATTGCTTTGCTGTTTCATTGTACGAAATGGATTCAGGAGTACTAAAATGCTAAAAGAGCAGCTGCCTCGAGATTGTAGCTTCAATTATTCCTTAAAATGGTAAATAGAGCACTTTTACAAATAACATCGTTCATTTCCCCTTCTGGCTGTTTGGCAGGGGGTGTTCCCACTATTAAAGGGGATGGACGGTCCTACTATGACACTTCTTATCAAGCACAGTTTAAGGGTGAAGGGTATCCACCTGCAAAGCCAAACAAAAAGGTAACAACATGATTTTGAGGAGGACTAAGACACAGGTAAAGGGCAGCACATTTCCAGGTTGAATTACAGAGCACTGGACGAGGCTGCCCAGAGAGGTTGTGGAGTCTCCTTCTCTGGAGACATTCAAAACCCGCCTGGATGCGTTCCTGTGTGACCTGGTCTGGTGATCCTGCTCTGGCAAGGGTTGGACTTAGATGATCTTTTGAGGTGCCTTCTAACTCCTAATATTCTGTGATTCTGTGTGTGATTCTGCCCCAAAAGGGGTGTGATATGGGCAAGTGAAAAACAGATTGACAGAAAGACAGAGAGGGGAGACAAAAGGGTTTTGCTTTAAGTGGCTGTTCTGTAGCTTTGTTGGCTTTCCTTCAGCACGTGTCTGCTATTAAATTTGGGGATCCCAGGACCAGTGAATCTGTGAGCGAGCAGAAACACGCCTACAGAGCCCCAGACAAGAAGACACACAGGTATCAGAGGGAGAACCTAATGGGCATCCCCAGAAACTGCTCTTGCTGATGAACGTTGCTAATTAAGCAGCTCCTATCTGCTGTCTTGCAGAGTCTATGACAAGGAGCGTGCTGCCTCCCAGATTCAACATGTGAATGTGCAGCTGGGGGACAGTTGACCCAGGTTCACCACCTCGAAATCAGTCCTTCCCAGTTCACAAGATAGGTAAGGGTGAGTTTGTGATGCAGAGGCAATGTGTACAGACTGCTGCTGAGCTTTATAACCAGCTGTATAAGGCCTTATCACTTGGTCTTAGTGATATAATGATAGATAAAGATATAATGCATTCATATAATAGGTATATAATTTTATATTTTTAATGTTTTATAGTTTTTCTGTACTCTGTATCAGTGTCGTCACTGTGAGGTTCTGTTTCATCCTCACTCCACTTCCCTGGCAGGTTAAATAGCTGCATTCTTTTCTGTGCTCTGTTGTATGAGAACAAGCTCCTGTAGCTATAAATTGTTCAGAGACTGAAGCGCTCTGACATCCTTCATTTTCACTTTTTGCCAGAGCCTATAACTATTGCCCAACCAAACCACATCTCATCCATCCCCAAAGGTGATGAAGACCCTGAGAGAAACCAAGCATTGGCAAGAACTACTACAGCACAGCTCTCCTACCCAGAGGTCTGTTCCCAGCTTTGCTGTGCAGGTGTTTCTCTGGTGGAGACCCTCTCTTCTTTTACGTACTCTGCTCCAGCAGCTAAAGCCAATGCTGTTGTCCCTTCTCCACTCCCCTGTGCAGGGTGTAATGTGCAGGGTGCCTTTCTCAGCCACATCCTGTTTCTCTTAATGCAACTCTTGTGTTTTCCAGACTGGCAGGTGGAACTTCCCACCAAAGCCCGACTTGCTACTGCAGAAATACCAAAGCAACATCAGCTTAAGAGATGAGTGTTCAGGCTCCTGTTCCTTCAGCACAACACAGCAGGCAGACTACCAGCCGCCCCGCCAGAGCCAGAGGGTGACAGCAGACAGCAAGAGCCCCAGCAAAAGCCACATCCCCTTCAACTACCACAGTAAGGTCGCATTGCTCAGACCCTTGTGCTGAGGTTTCTCCCAGTTCTGTGCGAGGGACAGCAATGCCTGGTGCTCTGGGAGAGGAGGCAACCCATGCATCTTGGGTTGGAGATACAGGTGCAGCATTGATGTCTTTAGTAAAGTGAGGCTGTCACCCCAAAACCAGGCAGGACAGCCATGCTCAGCCCCATGCCTGCTGCTGCTCACTGCAACTGCTGATCTCAGGCACTTTCACTTCCCCAAATGACGTCTCCCTGGCTGATAAGCCGTCTTGATGCCTGTGCCAGCCACAGGCATTCAGTGCTATCATACAGCAATGTTTGGCATATTAAGTGACATAAATGATTTATGGGTCATGAACCAGTGACTTGATCTTTCTCATTTGCTAGGTTTGTTTTTATAAATTGTTCTGGGAGGAAGGAGAGGATTTTGATCAAAAGCGGTGCTTATGCAACCTCAGGAAGGGATGCGGTCAAAGCTGGTCATGGAGGGCGTTAACAAAATCCTCCTCTGACGTTGCATCCTGTTTCTGGTTGCCAGTGCTCTGAAGTGAGAGAGAGGTCCCTTCGTGCTGTGTATCTCTTTTTAAGCCATTTGTTTTACTGAATATGGAACAGATTGCAGTGGAATTGATCTTGTCCTTGGCACCAAACTTCTGGAGCAGCTCCATAACGAGCATATGGAGTGATATTTGTGTAACTTCCATGTGAATTTCTTCATTCACCTCCTCACCCTGAGAATTATTTTCTGTCTGGGCAAAGGTTTCCAGCAAAGCACTGACAGCAAAGCCTGTCTTTTCCTCTCATTAATGCACACAGATTGGTGACTGCAAGTCAAACTGCAAAGCTCTTTCTGATGTTGCATCCTAATTTACTGGCTTGAATTTACTTTTTATTTCAACTCCATCTGTCAGCAGATGAAAGTCCTGTCACAACCATGCAGGCCATGCTGGTCCCACACACCCCACAGAAGCAGCAGCTCTCTGAAGATGTGCTGCAGCAGGTACAGCCTTAACAGGCTTGAAGTTACCACGGAGTGGCTTGGGGAAGCAGGATTATGCCACACGAAGCTGTAGTTTCCCCATTAACATCACCAGATTTAGTGTGTGCCCTTGAGCCACTTGAGATGGGACAGCCAAATCCTGTCTCAAATAAATGCTCTGTGGGGAGCTGAGAAGAATCTGAGAGAAGGGACAGGCAACCAAATCCCTAAACCAAGGAACACTGGAGGGAAGAAGGAAGGTTATTCTGGTCTCCCATAGAGATCAGAGGCAGCAAACTGGCCTGACTAGAAGTGTCCAGACAGGGTAAACGTCTCTTTGCACCACCAGCACTAAAGACTGTTCATCTGCCAGAGAGAGACCATGCAGGCACACACAGAGCAGCTGCCCAGGAGGATATCCTTCAGAGGCTCAGATGTGGGGGCTGCCAACTTCCACATTACCCTCTGCCCCATCCCCATGTGCTTGAAGGCTTTTCTCTCTTCTCAGATCAAGTCCTCACATCTGGCGCTACCCTGGAGGGCACAGGACCTCTTCAGGACTGAGCAGAAAGACAAGTTCACGCCCAAGTCCAGAGCAGAAATCCAACAGCCAAAAGCTCAAGTGAGCAGAGTCCCCTTGGGGACACTGAAAGAATACTGTGCCCGGAGGAAGGTGCGCTTTGTACTGTGATCTTCTCTCTTCTTCGGTGATCGCCCAGAATTTGCTGTGCTGTGCACTGCCTACGCGTCCTGATACCTGTTAGCCGTCCTGCTGCCCTGCTCTTGGCCTGTCTGTGTGTTGTTACAGAGAATGTTTATTTCACAAGTTGAATGAGGACACAAGAAGGTGTTGTGACAGCAAGAATAAACACTGGGAGATTAGCCCAAAGACACGTGTGACACATTTCTCTGGATTGCGAGACCCACCGACTGTCTCTAGGCAGGCGCTGGGGCAGGAGGAAGCAGGTGGGGTAGGAGGAAGCTCAGAGAAAGGGCAGGAGATCAGAAGCAAAGTGAGAGGCACCATCAGGGCTGTGCGGGGGCTGGATATTCCCTTATTATCTGTTTGGATTTCGGTGTCAAGGCCTGAATCCAAAGGTTGGTGAACAGCAGGGCAGAGAGGTAGCCCTCCCTGGCTCATGAGTGGGCTGTTTTCCTAGAGGTGAGCTGTGTGTTTGTGTTGAGTTGGTAACTCACGTGGGTTTCCTGAATGCTGAGCTTGCACTAACTCTGTTTGGGATGTAGCTATTTTGAAGAGGGATAGGTGTGGGCCGGCCAGCCCCCTCCCCTGGGAGGCTGAGTGAGCAGGGGCAGCTGCTGCCTGATCACAGCTGCCACTTCACAAGCTCTTCTCAGCCTTTTGCTGCAGATGGGCTTGGTTCACATGGTTCACATTTCTGAGTGCTGCAGTTTGTGTGCCTGAGCAGTGGCTGGGCCTGCGAATCTCCGTGCTTTCCTCTTGGGATCTGACTCCACGTCTCTCAGGAAAGGGACAGTCTTTGCTCCACACGTACTTCAAAAAAGCGCCGCGTACTCAAGTCTTCTAAAGGCACACAGGCACCTCACGTCAGGCTTTTTACACAAACACCTTGATTCAAACACCTAAATTGCATTATTTGGTGTAGTAACAGGAACTTACATCTGCTACCAGTCTGCCCCATTACTTTAATGGGACCCTGAGGTGACATTGCCACCGGTGCTACGGCAAAAACAGCCATGGTTCACTGGGGATAAATGGTGAACATCAGCCCTTTGGTGGAACCGGCTGGGTTGGGAGCTGTTGCTGGGGGGACCCTGTGGTTATTCACTTTCATGTGGATTTTGTTGCAACTTCAGACACAGAAAGCACAACAGACTTTTGGGGTAAGGACTTTCGCTTTCTAAACTCATCTCCTACCCCTTCCAGCAATGACCCAGGAATGCCTGATCCAGGA